AAAGGTCACTGAAGAAATCAAAAGGGAAGTAAAAGAAATTCTAGAAACAAATGACAGTGAAAACACAACTCAAAACCTATGGGATGCAGCAAAGCAGTTCTAAGAGGGAAGTTTATAGCAATACAGTCCTACTCAAGAAACAAGAAAAACATCAAATAGACAACCTAACTTTACTCCTAAAACAACTGGAAGAAGAACAAAAAAACCCCAAAATTAGTAGAAGGAAAGAAATCATAATGATCTGAGCAGAAATAATGAAAAAGAAATGAAAGAAACAGTAGTAAAGATTAATAAAACTAAAAGCTGGTTCTTTGAGAAGATAGACAAAATTGACAAACCTTTAGCCAGACACATCAAAAGAGAGAAGAATCAAATCAACAAAATTAGAAATGAAAAAGGAGAGGTTACAACAGACAATGCAGAAATACAAAGGGTTGTAAGAGACTATTATGAACAACTATCTGGCAATGAAGTGGATAACCTGGAAGAAATGGACAGATTCTTAGGAAAGTTAAATTTTACAAGACTGAACCAGGACGAAATAGAAACTATGAACAACCCAATCACAAGCACTGAAATTGAAGCTGTGATCAAAAATCTCCCAAAAAACAAAAGCCAGGACCAGACAGCTTCACAGGAGAATTCTGTCAAGCATTTAGAGAAGAACTAATGCTTATCCTTCTAAAACTCTTTCCAGAAATTGCAGAGGAAGGAACACTTCAAAACTCATTCTACGAGGCCACCACCACCCTGATACCCAAACCAGACAAAGACAACATAAAAAAAAAGAAAACTACAGGCCAATGTCACTGATGAACATAGATGTAAAACTCTTCAACAGAATTTTAGCAAACAGAATCCTGCAACACATCAAAAAGCTCATACACCATAATCAAGTTGGGTTTATTCCCGAGATGCAAGGATTCTTCAATATATGCAAATCAATCAATGTGATACTTGAAAGATAAAAAAAGATCATCTCAATAGATGCAGAAAAAGCCTTTGACAAAATTCAGCACCCATTTATGATTAAAACTCTTCAAAAAAAATGGGCATAGAAGGAACCTCCCTGAACACAGTAAAGGCCATATATGATAAGCCTACAGGAAACATTATCCTCAATGGTGAAAAACTGAAAACATTCCCCCTAAGATCAGGAACAAGACAAGGGTGTCCACTTTCACCACTATTATTCAACATTGTTCTGGAAGTCCTAGCTACAGCCATCAGAGAAGAAAAAGAAATAAAGCAAATCCAGATGGGAAAAGAAGTAAAGCTCTCACTGTTTGCAGTTGACATGAAACCGTACATAGAAAACCCTAAAGATAGTATCAGAAAATTACTCGAGCTGATCAGTGAATTTAGAAAAGTTGCAGGATACAAAATCAATACACAGATATCACTTGCATTTCTATATACTAACTGAAAAATCAGAAAGAGAAATTAAGGAATAAATCCCATTCACCATTGCAAACAAACAAAGAATTAAATATCTGGGAATAAACTTACCTAGGAAGACAAAAGAACTGTACATAGAAAATTATAAGACATTGATGGAAGAAATCAAAGATGACATAAACAGATGGAGAGATATTCCATGTTCCTGGGTAGAAAGAATCAATATTGTGAAAATGACTGTACTACCAAACACAATCTACAGATTCAATGTGATCCCTATCAAATTACCAATGGCATTTTTCACAGAACTAGAACAAAAAATTTCACAATTCATATGGAAACACAAAAGACCCTGAAAAGCCAAAGCACTCTTGAGAAAGAAGAATGGAGCTGGAGGAATTAACCTTCCTGACTTCAGATTATACTACAAAGCTACAGTCATCAAGACAGTATGGTACTGGCACAAAAACAGAAATATAGACCAATGCAACAAGATAGAAAGCCCAGAAATAAACCCACCCATGCACCTATGGGTACCTTATTTTTGACAAAGGAGGCAAGAATATACAATGGGGCAAAGACAGCCTCTTCAATCAATGGTGCTAGGAAAACTGGACAGCTACATGTAAAAAAATGAAATTAGAACATTTCCTAACACCATACACAAAGATAAACTCAAAATGGATTAAAGATCTAAATATAAGACCAGAAACTATAAAACTCTTAGAGGAAAACATAGGCAGAACACTTGACATAAATCAAAGTAAGATCCTTTATGACCCACCTCCTAGAGTAATGGAAATAAAAACAAAAGTAAACAAGTGGGACCTAATTAAACTTAAAAGCTTTTGCACAGCAAAGGAAACTATAAGCAAGGTGAAAAGACAACCCTCAGAATGGGAGAAAATAATAGAAAATGAAACAACTGACAAAGGATTCATTTCCAAAATATACAAAGCAGCTCATACAACTTAATACCAGAAAGACAAACAACCCAATCAAAAAGTGGGAAAAAGACCTAAACAGACATTTCTCCAAAGGAGACATATAGATGGCTAACAAACACATGAAAAGATGCTCAACATGTCTCATTATTAGAGAAATGCAAATCAAAACCACAGTGAGATATCACCTCACACTGGTCAGAATGGTCATCATCAAAACGTCTACAACAATAAATGCTGGAGAGGGTGTGGAGAAAAGGGAATGCTCTCGCACTGTTGGTGGGAATGTAAATTGATATAGCCACTATGGAAGATGGTATGGAGATTCCTTAAAAAACTAGGAATAAAACCACCATATGACCCAGTAATCCCACTCCTAGACATATACCCTCAGGAAACCAAAATTGAAAAAGACACATGTATCCCATTGTTCATTGCAGCACTATTTCCAATAGCTAGAACATGGAAGCAACTTAGATGTCCATTGACAGATGAATGGATAAAGAAGTTGTGGCACATATACATAATGGAATATTACTCAACCATAAGAAGGAATGCTTTGGAGCCAGTTCTAATGAGGTGGATGAACCTAGAACCTATTATACAGAGTGAAGTAAGTCAGAAAGAGAAAGATAAATATCATATTCTAATGCATATGTATGGAATCTAGAAAAATGGTACTGAAAAATTTATTTACAGGGCAGCAGTGGAGAAACAGACATAGAGAATAGACTTATGGACATGGGGAGAGGGGAGGAAAAGGTGAGATGTATGGAAAGAGTAACATGGAAACTTACATTACCATATGTAAAATAGTCAACAGGAATTTGCTGGATGGCTCAGGAAACTCAAACAGGGGCTTTGTATCAACCTAGAGAGGTGGGATGGGGAGGGAGATGGGAGGGAGGTTCAATAGGGAGGGGATATATGTATGTCTATGGCTGATTCATGTTGAGGTTTGATACAAAACAACAAAATTCTGTAAAGCAATTATCCTTCAATAAAAAAACAAATAAATTTTTAAAAGATATATAATCATAAAGAAAAATATAATCATAGTGAGACATATTAACATTTCTCTGAGAATATTTTTTCAAATGCAGAAAAAATAAGAATAGGAGCATCTAGAATGATGTTATTAATAATTTACATATAATATATTTATATTTATATTAATTTTACATCCTACACAAAAACGTTTAAAATTTTATATCTCATACATTGTTATTAGGTGAGAAAGGACAATTACTGAAGCTGTTTGGTGGGTGTATGAGATTTCATTATATTATCTATTTTTATATCTCTTTGGAGTTTTCTATAATAGCTCTAAAATGTATTTCTGAAGTAAATTGTAAATATTTGTACTAAGTAGCACAAAGTTCAACCAAGAAAATTACTCTGAGTAGGGTTATAGTCCAACTCCCTTCATCTGCATATGGATATCCAGTTTTCTCACATAATTTGCTGAAAAGATTATTCCTTCTCCCACTGAATGGTCTTGGCACCCTCGATGAAAATCATTTGACTGTGCTGGAAGGGCAACATAAGGAAAGCAAAAATTGAGCCAGATGTTGCTAGCTGGGAACTATTAGAATGTGCACGGTGCAGTGTATGGAGTTTTATGTATGGAGGCACCTTGGCCAGTGTATGGAGTTGAGTAGGAGAAAGCGTGCTGGTTTCAGCAAACAACAAGGAGATTCACTGAGGAAGAGATCAGGCCACTGAGCAACAGAGTTTTAAGTTAGTTAAAAGGGACTGAGGTGAAGTTAAATAGCACGTTTTTGCCCAATAAACTAATATGAAGAAAGCCATATTTCAGAATCTGGTAGTGACATGCATGGTTAGGGGAAGTCAGCTTTTTTCATCTTTAAACACGGGCTAATTGAGTGGTTGATGACTTTAAACCTTGAACCACAGAATGGGAAGTCAGCCAAGCTATATACATTACATTGTGAAAAGTCTCCAAGACATGTCACTAGTCTTTTCATCTGTGTTTCCTACCTAATTCATTTCATTTTTCTGTTTTGATTTCTCCCTCTATAATTTCTTGTTAGCTGCATCCTTGGGAATACACAAGGCCATAAAATTATGTTTATGCCATTATGTATCACATAATTGAGCATTTAGTAATATATAACACCGTAAGTTTTACATATTAAGTTTTGAAGAGATTTGTTATCTCTGCAAAAGCCTATGATTATGTTTTTGTCTTCATGTGTTTCATTGGTGTTGTACCTGGAGATGAACTATGACATATTTTCCACTTAAAGAAAAGGTTGCAGAATGTTAGGAAATCTTTCTTTACTCTAGTTCTGCTTTTTAGTATCCTGGTAAGAACTGACTCTTGATGTCAGTGCCTATTTTGAGCTGTGTAATTGTTCCATTACTATGCAACGTGTTGTATTAAGACAGGTAACATGATTTACTTAAGACCTTTCACCTTGGGGTTTATGTTTCTATTTACTATAGCGTTCTCAGCACTCTGTTGTCAAATTTATGTCTGGCTCTGAACAAGTCAGTCTAATGATGAAAACTGTTGTGATATTCAGTCTTTATGTTCCTCCCTGTATTTTTATCAGTAGACTGTATTCAGAAGAGAAATTTCTCTAGAATATATATAAATAGACATATAACATGTTTTATGTGTCATTTTTGAAGGTTACAGTCATCTTCATCCCTTGATTCAAGTCCAATAGATTTATTGAAAGATACACATACTCTAAACTGCAGGAATGTAAGTACTATCGTAAGTGATAATATTCATGAAATAAATGAATGATAAAATTGGTCCTTGTTGATTATTTCTTTTGAGAAAAGAGGCCATCCTGTTAAGAAAAAAAAAAGGGGGGGATCTCTTTCCAGAGTTCTTAAGAGGCAATGTAGAATAGTGGTTAATAGTGAAGTTTCTGGGACTGTAATGTCTGGGTCCAAGTTTTGATTCACTTACTGCTGGGATAACCTCCTGTGTGTTTTTTAACCTCTGCACCTCAGCTTCCTCACTTGTAAAACAAGGATTAATAATAGCCCCAGTTTCTTAAAGTGATGTGTGAATTAAATGATTTAATATACAAAGAAACAAAAAACCTCACAGTTCCTCGGACATAGTATGTGCTCAATAAATAATGGTTATTACTGTTATTTTAATAAACTCCAAGTCTATGGATTAAAAGTACTCCTTATGGTCTGGAAAAAGTTTAATATAAGCTACAAAATAAGTATTACCTACTATTTAATTCAATTGAACAAATACTAGCCATTTGAAGTACATACAAGATGTGTGTACTGAACATAGCACTGAATATATGGAAGACCCACATATAATTGTGACGTATCCCAGACAACAAATACTTCCCAGGTGGCGCTGGTGGTAAAGAACCCACCCGTCAACATAGGAGACATAAGAAACTCGGATTTCATCCCTGGGAAATCCCATGGACCGAGGAGCCTAGCAGGCTACGGTCCATGGGGTCTAAAAGAATCAGACACAACTGAAGTGACATAGCACACAGCACATAAAATATAGGAGAGAAGAGAAATTAAATCTGACTAGGGACAAAAGGGAACCTGAAAATATCTTTTTATATTAACATAGACTTTTGTTCTGGTATTTTCAAGTTTTACTCATACATTTGACACCTGTTTATTGGGTATGCATTTTGTGCCAGACTATATACCAGAAACAGGGATTAAGTCCTTGTAGCACACAAAAATCTCTGAGTAGTGTATGTTATGTAGGCATCATGATAAAGTTTATCAACTGAATCAGACAATATAGGTAAATGATTTCTTTTGATGAGCTATATTGAACATCAAATTGTTTGGCCTGTGTCTATATAACACTATGATATGACAACTTTTTGGTAAAAGTTTCTGGTTTAATACATTCCCTATTCCAAAGCAGTATTTCCCATTGTAGCTTTGAATGAGATATAGTTTTACCATCATTTAAAAAATACCGAAATGTTTTTCCTTCTTAATCTAAAACTTTCCCTTATATGTGTAATTGTGTACTTTAGTTATGATTATGAATAATGTGGGAGCTTTGCAGTCAGATGGACTTGGGTTAGAATCATGACTCCAACACTTTAGACAAGATATTAGACTCTTTAGGCCTCAGAGTCTTGACCTCACAATATTTGTAACATGAAACAAAATTTTATTTGTGGAGTACTTAGCACAGGACACTCAGTAAGTGCAAACTGCCCTATTGTTCATGACAGCACACCCACATATGAAAACTGCTAAAAAAATCTTTATTTCATTCAAATAGGAAACTTACAGCTTTTTATTTTGTCGTTACAGATGTCAAATAAGGAGTTGATTACCCTAAGTCCATCTGAAATAGGGGAACGAGAGGCTACAAAGCAAAACCAAAGTGTTGTTCCTCCCCTCAGTCATGAACCACTCCTCGGTAAGATTTCTTTCACAACCGACCACCATTTTGGTTTTCCAAAAACTTTTTTTAATCATGATAGTTTCAGGTTTAGGAAATTTCTAAATATGCAAACAGCTTTAAAACTAAGTTTTCCCCCCAAACTACAATGAGATATCACCTCACACTGGTCAGGATGACCGTCATCAAAAACTCTGCAAATAATATACGTGGGAGAAGGCACGGAGAAAAGAGAACCTTTCAACCCTGTTGGTGGGAGCATAAATTGGTACAAAGACTATGGAGAACATATGGAGGTTCCTTAAACTAAAAATAGAGCTACCCACTCTATCCAGCAGTCCCACTCTTAGGCATACATCTGGAGAAAACTAATTCGAAAAGATACATGTACCCCAATGTTTGTAGCAGCATTATTTACAATAGCCAAGACATGGAAGCAACCTAAATGCCCATCAACAGATGACTGGATAAAGAAGATGTGGTATATATACACACAATGGAATATTACTCAGCCATAAAAAAGAATGGAATAATGCCATTGGTAGCAACATGGTTGCACCTAGAGATGATCATATTAAGTAGACCAGACAAAGAGAGACAAATATCACATAGTATCACATATGTGGAATCTAAAAAAAAGACACAAATGAACTTATTTACATAACAGAGGTAGACTTACAAACAGAAAACAAATATGGTTATCAAAGGACAAAAGTGGGGAGGATTAATTAGGAGTTTGGGATTAGCAGATACAAACTGCTATATATAAAATAGGTTAACAACAAGGTCCTACCATATAGCACACGGAACTCTATTCAATATAATATCACAAACTAATGGAGAAGAATCTGAAAAAGAATATATATATATATGTATATATGAATCACTTTGCTGTACACCAAAAACTAACACATTATAAAATCAACTACTTCAATTAAAAAAAAAAATCCTGAATTTTTCATTCAGGATCTTAAATACAGTCATCATAGTGTTAATTTTTAAGTGTATGCTACTTAGGTGGCACTAGTGGTAAAAAAAAAAAACCTGCCTGCCAGTACAAGAGACATGAGAGATGCAGGTTTGATCCCTGGGTTGGGAAGATCCCCTGGAAGAGGGCATGGCAATATGCTCCAGTATTCTTGCCTGGAGAATCCCATGTACAGAGGAGCCTGTTGGGCTACAGTGCATAGGGTCACAAAGAGTTGGACACAACTTAAGCATCTGAGCACACACAGTACATTCTACTTAATGGACCTGTCATTGAAAGCCTGATTATCAACTGAGTTGCTATGAGTATTATTAAAACACAATTTAAATAAAAGTAATGCTCTCATCATGAGAAAAGCTGGACTGGAAGAAGCACAAGCTGGAATCAAGATTGCTGGGAGAAATATTAATAACCTCAGATATGCAGATGACACCACCCTTATGGCCAAAAGTGAAGAGGAACTAAAAAGCCTCTTGATGAAAGTGAAAGAGGAGAGTGAAAAAGTTGGCTTAAAGGTCAACATTCAGAAAACTAAGATCATGGCATCTGGTCCCATCACTTCATGGCAAATAGATGGGGAAACAGTGGAAGCGGTGTCAGACTTTACTTTTTGGGGCTCCAAAATCATTGCAGATGGTGACTGCAGCCATGAAATTAAAAGACGCTTACTCCTTGGAAGGAAAGTTATGACCAACCTAGAGAGCATATTAAAAAGCAGAGACATTACATTGCCAACAAATATCTGTCTAGTCAAGGCTATGGTTTTTCCAGTGGTCATGTATGGATGTGAGAGTTGGACCATGAAGAAAGCTGAGCACTGAAAAATTGATGCTTTTGAGCTGTGGTGTTCGAGAAGACTCGTGAGAGTCCCTTGGACTGCAAGGAGATCCAACCAGTCCGTCCTAAAGGAGATCAGTCCTGGGTGTTCATTGGAAGGACTGATGCTGAAGCTGAAACTCCAGTACTTTGGCCACCTCATGCGAAGAGTTGACTCATTGGGAAAGACCCTGATGCTGGGAGGGATTGGGAGCAGGAGGAGAAGGGGACGACAGAGGATGAAATGGCTGGATGGCATCACCAACTCGATGGACATGAGTTTGAGTGAGCTCTGGGAGTTTGTGAGGGACAGGGAGGCCTGGCATGCTGCGACTCATGGGGTCGCAATGATTCGGACACGACTGAGCGACTGAACAGAACTGAGCAAATGCTCTCATGTTTAGGGAAAAATTCCACTCTCCAGAAAAAGATTTTTAAAAGATACCAATCATAAAAAGTTTAAGATGTAATTATTCATTTTAACTATACCTATGCAAAGTCCAAATAAAGAAATTTGAAGGGATACAATTTTATGCTCCCCATAACTGACTCTGATCTCCTGAAAATAAATGCTAAAGAGAATCAGAGGGGAAAAAGAAACTGAAAGTGTTAGTCGCTCAGTCGTGTTTGACTCTTTGTGACCCCATGGACTGTAGCCCTTCGGACTCCTCTGTCCCTAGAATTCTCCAGGTAAGAATACTCGAGTGGGTAGCTATTTCCTTCTCCAGAGGATCTTTCCAAGTTAACGATCAAACCCAGGTCTCCTGCATTGCAAGCAGATTCTTTACCCTCTGAGCCACTGGGAAAGCCCGAGAATCAAAAGCCTTGAAGGAACCTGGACATTCAGCTTCACGCAAAACCACATATTGCATGCTCAGTCGCTAAGTCATGTCTGACTCTCTGCAATCCCATTGACTGTAGCCTGCCAGGCTGCGCTGTCCATGGGATTCTCCAGGCAAGAATAGTGGAGTGGGTTGCCATTTCCTTCTCCAAAAACCACATATTAATCATCTTAAATTCTGTTGTACTTTGGAAGATACCTAGAAAACTTTGATTAATCTCTTGCTGTGTTTTAACCATGGATTTCTAGACCCTCTTGAGTATCTGATTTAAAACACATTTCCATGGTTCCTCTTTATTTCCTTTTTCAATCAAAAATCTGGGGACTCCTTCCTTTTATAAGAGTCTTTCAGATTTTTGGAAGGTGATGCTTTTGTCTCAGCCTTCTCATTTTGGAGTTAAACAAGCAAAGTATTTTCACAAGGCAGATTAAAGTTAAATTTCTCCTTCCAGACTGTATCTACACACATGAATAAACCCCAGCCCTTTACATCCAACTGTCTCAGAGTCTGTACCTCTTAGTGCTTTTATTTTTTATTAAAAAACTCATAGACTAACTCGCTTATGTGCATCAAATGAGTGAAGTGCAATTTATCTGACAGCAGATTGTTATAAAAATAGGCAACCCATTAAAAAATACATCTGGCATCTGTAAAATGTATGCTTTGCTTTCAACAATACATTGTATGGTATCCTAACCTTGCTTTGCCATTTTCGATGATAACTCATTTTTTAACCTCCAAATGTACTTATACAAGCCTGTATTTCAATTCTATAGGAGAGGGAGTCCAGCTGGACTTTGAAGCCCTCTGTGACAATGATGACACAGCCATGGCTGCCTTCATGAATTACTTAGAAGCAGAGAGGGGCCTGGGAGACCCTGGGGACTTCAGTGACTTCCACTGGACACTCTAGCATTTGATTTTTAACTCTAAACATGAGAAAAGTCTTGAAGCATTTCACTTACAAAAGACTATATAGTCTTTGTATCCTTTGTATACTGTTTTTAATCTTTTATTCCTATTAATGGTCTGCCAGTTTTTATAGATTTGCTCCTGACTTTAATAGGGGTTTGGGGAAATGTGATGTTTCCCTTCAGAGTCGCAGAATTTTCTATAGACTGCTTTAGTCAGTGACATGCCTTCAAACCCACTAGTTGCTATATTTTTGTTAAAGTCTTTTTAACCAAGAATACCACATGTATCTTGTTTTGGTTTTATTTTTATTTTATGGTGCAGTTGTTTTTAGTTTGGGGAGTTTAATGTGTGGACATTTTCCTTGTGTCTGAGATTCATTTATAATTGACTTAGAAGATTTGTGTAATTTGGAACATTTCCATTCCTAATATATTTCCTTCACTGAGGACAGGACTTATCCACTTAAAAAAAATAGTGAGTACTTGAACATTTAAAGGGATAGTGCAATTTGTAATTGTGATCACAATGAATACTGTATTCAGTCTTTGTGGGCTTGGGCAAGTACAGAACCACAATAGTTATGCTCAGTTGAGCACTTTGAGATAGATTTTAAGTGAGATGATTTCTTATTTAAAACTCAAAAAAAAGGAAAAGCTGAGAAAGTTTCGACTTTGCTTACAGAAAAGGAAAGATCTTGGGCCCTCGAGCTGGGTGATTAGCCTTTGCCTTAATACTCAAGAGTATTAAGATTTACTCTTAATAGAACCACTCAAGATTTTTATTACAGATAGGATAGATTTATGATGCTGAAAAGGTATTTAGCAACAGATTAGTCTTAGTGGAAGAAGTGGGTCCAGGCTAATTCAATGTCTTGAATGGTAATGTCACAATTAAGTTTCTATGTCTTTTAATGTTTAATGTGTATAAACCAGTTTCTTTATACACATTTGGGAAAACAATAGTCTCAGTAGTGAAATGATTAGTTAAGTGACCTAGGAACTAGTTGTTGGCTCTCTAAATTATTAGGAAATTACAGTTACTATTGCTTGTAACCAAAGGTAATTACATAAATGACAAGTACATTTTAAAAACCATGAGGCAATAAGAAAGAATTTGAAAACCAATTTTCCAGCTAAAATTAAAAATTGAGAGCATTTTTAAAACCAGTAATCTAGAAGTGGCTTAAATTGAGTGTAAGAATTAAGGATATTTAAAATACCATATGTATATCTACATGTTTGAAGATCATAATACTGTAATATTATAATGGTTCTATAATACCTATGGTTTTAATAGCTCTTTCTAGTTTACCAAGTGTATTCCCATATATTCTCTTTTGTGCCTCGCAAGTAAAAGTAAGACAGGCTAGGAAACTAATGGGGAAAGCCCTGGGGATCAACTCCAGTTTTCTGTGTCACACTGTCCCTCTCCAGCAGATTTTCCTCAGAGCCTCTCACCAAACAAGGCATTCTTTTTACCTTACATATATATCCTTAGGCTGCAATAGATTAAACTTTCAGACACATTAATGGGCAACATAGTAACAGGCAACAACCAAAATCACATGTTCCTTCACATGTGACGTTTGCAGAGGCCATGTGGGCAAGGATGTATTGAGCTGTTGTCTTGAGCCAGTGCAATTTTCCAGCGATGTCAGAGGTGCAGCACCACCCCTGGTTGACTTGGGAGACACTCACGTGTAGACTAAGCCAAAGCCAACGAAATCCTGCAGAACGGGGGTATTGGTCTGTAGCAGCCTGTGCACGATAGTTGGGGCTTCTCAGGTGGCTCGCTGGTAAAGAACCTGCCTGCCAATACAGAAGACACAAGAGACTTGGGTTTGATCCCCGGGTCAGGAAGATTCCCTGGAGGAGGAAATGGCAACCCACTCCAGTATTCTTGCCTGGAGAATCTCCACGGACAGAGAAGCCTGGTGGGCTACAGTCCGAGTTGGTCACTGCTGAGCACACATGCCCACATGCACGCAAGCATGATAATTAAGTCTGAAGAAGCATCACAGATACACCTGTTCTCTAAGTTAGATAGAGAGGTCTGCCTACAGAGGTAACATTTCAGGAGTCGACCACTGCAGATTGTGTTAGACCTCCAGAGTCAGCCTAAGCCAGTGGTAGTGGGATAGGTCACTGTGGCCCCTTGACCTCCCAAGGAGATGGGGGCAACCCTCATGATCCAGGGATCTGAGAGGCAGACTTTCTCAAAGCTGGTCATTCCTGCTTGCACAGTAGCAGTTCTCTCTGTTTCTAAAAGGAGAGGTTATTCCATAGCCTTATGGGTGGATAGTAATTGAATGCTTTGATGCTTTAGTAACCCACTCTGATGTTTATCTTCTTGCCCTGGACCCAGAATTCAATCCAAGCATTGTATGATACTGTAGCTCTACATTCAGTGCTTTCTTCAAAATGCCTTCTATTTACATTTGATTGCTATTAGGAGTGACAAATTTTTTATGCTTTACATTATACTGTTTTTTTTACTCGAGCCAATTAATTTCTTACATGTTGGTGAAAATATCTACCAATTTAATCAAATATCCTAAAAAGAATACTCTTTTATTTATTTATTTTTTAATTCTAAGAATTACCTACATAGGAGGCATGCCTGGATTGGGAGAACCTGCTAGACTAAATTTCTCTGTGTGACCTCAAGAAAGCCATTTCAACTCTCTGTACCTCAGTTTCCTTATTTGTAAAAAGAGGTTTGATCTCTCCATTTACTTCCTATGGAGTAATGATTCTCACCCATAGGTCTCAAACCCATAGTCAGATGCTAGAAATAGTCAGTTCATTATGATAGCCACTGGCTACATGTGGCTACTGAAAACTGGAAACGCGACTCTTATGTATTGAAATGTGCTGTGAATATAAAATGTATACCAGATTTCAAAGACTTAGTATGAAAAAAAGGAATATAAAATATCACATAATAAGTTTGTATTGATTACATATTCAAATAATATTTTGGATATACCAAATTAAACATTAAAATTAATTTTATTTTCTTACTTTTCTAATGTGACTACTAGAAAGTTTTAAATTACACATGTGATACACATTATATTTTCATTCTTCAGCGCTGCTCTTGGACATTTTATTAAGTGGATATTTTTAAATAGACCAAAATTTATACTATTAAGTATGGTGTTTACCTCTAACTGCTATAAAGAACATTTATTGATCTTTGGTTCAATGTAAATAACTGTGAACCTTTATCAGTGTATCAAATTTAAAACTTTTTTGAAATTAGTAAACTTGGAAGTATTAGACATTCATTAACCTGAAATCAAATAAAACTTGAGGTATACTCTGTAGTAGTCACTGAATTTGAAAATCACTGATAAACATAAAGACAAACAGGAAGATACACCACAGACTTTTGGTAACTAAACAGAAATAAAGGGAAGTATGTAATTACAGTGTCACAATGGGAAAAGGCTGTGTTCATTGGTTGTCATAATGAGAAATCTCCGTAGAGTCTAGGGCACAAGTATATAACATAGCCACTCTCTAGGTATCAGCCCATGTTTAATGGGTCCAGTTTCAGATCCTGTTCTAAAGAGGAATCCGTCACTCAGGTAGGTCATTGCTGAGCTTTGAAATTAGAGACTCAGGTTTGCCGAACAGAATATTGTGGGCACGAGCAGGGCTGACATCTCTTTGGTAGCATTATCAGAAGCTGTAAAGAAAACCTGCTGGGTGGCCACTAGGTGTCACTTTCTCATCCCTATAGGGCTTTGTTTTCATTAAATTTTTTAAGTTCCATGTGGCCTAGGAGAGGCATTTAGGACTTTTGTGCCTAGAATAAGTCTGCCTCTGTTTAATAAATGCTTCTTTAAGAGAAGTCTGGGAAGATCCTTTCCACATAAAAGAATTTTTGTTTAGGATCATTCCAGATGTGACTCCAATAAAAGCTGACTTTAGAAAGAAAACTCATCCAACTGGGGACATGCTTTCTGAATTCATTTCAGAGTATTTGGTGTGTGTGTGTGTGTGTCACTGCTCATACAATCTTGAGTTTAGGTCTGTATTTTATACAACTTTTAAGGTCTGTTCTGTTTCACTTGCTCTTGTCTGTATGTTGGTATTTTTAAAATTTTGTGGGAAATAATGAAGAGTGAAATTAAACTATATTTTGTAGTAACTACTAGTTTGGGGTTTTTATTTAACATATTAAACTTCCTCCAAAAAAGTATGCTCTTAATTACTTTCTAAAGTGGAAAGAGTTGGGTAGAAGACCCAGTGTTCTAAAACCACTGGAGGGTGCTTCCGTGGTGGGCCAGTGGCTAAGATTCCACACTCCCATTGCAGGGGCCTGGGTTCAATCCTGGGTCAGGGAACTAGAATCCACGTGCCATAGCTAAGAGTTCGCATGCTGCAACTAAAGATCCCATGTGCTGCAATGAAGCTAGAAGATCCTGCATGCTATAACTAAGACCTGGCCCAGCCAAATAAATAAATAAAACCACTGGGAAGGAAGATACATATCACTTACACATTTTAGGGTGTGTTCATCAGGGTGTGCTAACTGCTATAGCAGCTCTAAAATATCAGTGGCTTAACCTCATTTCCTTCTGCTCATATCACATCTGATGTCATCAACACTGTCGGTCTCTCTGACTCCACTTGTCCCTCTTCTCTGCCTCTCCCTCTTTCCATCTCTCAGCTCTGCTTTTCTCAGTGAGTTTTATCCTCTAATGGACCTTCTTCCCCATACTGATGCTCAAAAGCTCCAAGTATATATTGCCCTTGTACCTGGCAATTAACAATAAAAACCTTCTCTGTTTCCTAGTAACTGACAGAAAGATGTCCATTGATCAGGCCTCTGTTTCAGCTTGGTTCACATGGACTCTCTTCTGTGTCCAGTAGGCCAGAATGAATATACAGATGGCCAGGCTTTGGTTCCATGACCAAACCTAAGTTAAAAGGCATCCTTGAAAGGGAAATCATGTCAAAAATAGCCAACTGCCTGACCCAACTGCCTAGGTCCAGAGGAAGGAATGGGGATGTAGGCAGAAGAAACAATGGAAAACTCATAATTCTTGAGAGTTGATGATTTCCTAGAATTGTGAGTTTAGGTTATGTGAGCCTCAAGTATTTTCAGATTGTTTGGTTTTGGTGGTTTGTTTTTTTCTTTTTTTTTTCTTGAGGGTGGGGATAGTGTGTGTGCCTACTCAGTCGCTCAGTAGTGTCCAACTCTTTGCAATCCCATGGACTGTAGCCCATCAGGCTCCTCTGTCCATGGGATTTTCCAGGCAAAAACACTGGAGTGAGTTGCCATTTCCTACTCCAGGGGATCTTGTTGATTAAGGGATCAAACCTGCATCTTTAGTAGCAATTTATATCATATGTTTCTAAGCCTTGGCTACCTTAAACAAGCCTTGGCTTGTTTAATACCCAGCCACTAGTCAATTTGGAGGGCTCTGACCATAGCTTCAGATAAAACTAGTGGAGGTAATGGAATTCCAGTTGAGCTGTTTCAAATCCTAAAAGACGATGCTATGAAAGTGCTGCACTCAATATGCCAGCAAATTTGGAAAACTTAGCAGTGGCCACAGGACTGAAAAAGGTCAATTTTCATTCCAATCCCAAAGAAAGGCAATGCCAAAGAATGTTCAAACCACCACACAATTGCACTCATCTCACATGCTAGCAAAGTAATGCAAAAATTCTCCAAGCCAGGCTTCAATAGTATGTGAACCGTGAACTTCCAGATGTTCAAGCTGGATTTAGAAAAGGCAGAGGAACCAGAGATCAAATTGCCAATATCCGCTGGATCACCAAAAAAGCGAGAGAGTTCCAGAAAAACATCTACTTCTGCTTTAATGACTGCCAAAGTCTTTGACCGTGTGGATCCCAAATAACTGTGGGAAATTCTTAAAGAGATGGAAATATTGGACCACCTGACCTGCTTCCTAAGAAATCTGTATGCAAGTCAAGAAGCAACAATTAGAACTGGACATGAAACAGACTGGTTCCAACATAGGAAAAGGGTACATCGAGGCTGTATATTGTCACTCTGCTTATTTAACTTATATGCAGAGTACATCATTAGAAATGCTGGACTGGATGAAGCACAAGCTGGAATCAAGATTGCTGGGAGAATATAAATAACCTCAGATATGCAGATGACACCACCCTTATGTCAGAAAGTAAAGAAGAACTAAAGAGCCCCTTGATGAAAGTGAAAGAGGAGAGTGAAAAAGTTGGCTTAAAGCTCAACATTCAGAAAACTAAGATTGTGGCATCTGGTCCCATCACTTCATGACAAATAGATGGGGAAACAATGGAAACAGTGAGAGACTTTATTTTTTTGGGCTCCAAAATCACTGCAGATGGTGACTGCAGCCATGAAATTAAAAGACACTTGCTCCTTGGAAGAAAAGTTATGACCAACCTAGAGAGCATATTAAAAAGCAGAGACATAACTTTGCCAACAAAGGTCCGTCTAGTCAAAGCTATGGTTTTTCCAGTGGTCATGTATCGATGTGAGAGTTGGACTATAAAGAAAGCTGAGCACCAAAGAATTGATGCTTTTGAGCAGTGGTGTTGGAGAAGACTCTTGAGAGTCCCTTGGACTGCAAGGAGATCCAACCAGTCCATCCTAAAGGAGATCAGTCCTGGATGTTCACTGGAAGGACTGATGCTGAAGCTGAAACTCCAATACTGATGCAGAGAGCTGACTCATTTGAAAGGACCCTGATGCTGGGAAAGATTAAAGGCATGCAGAGAAGGGGATGACAGAGGATGAGTTGGTTGGATAGCATCACCAACTTAATGGACATGAGTTTGAGTAAACTCCGGGAGTTGGTGATGGACAGGGAAGCCTGGTGTGCTGCAGTCCTTGGAGTCACAAAGAGTCAGACACGATTGAGCAACTGAACTAAACTGACCATAGCTTAAGTAAGCGTGTGTTGAGAGAGACCATAAAAAGTTGTGAAATCCTTTTCCACTTACGTGTTTCTGGCATTGAATTGACACTTAGACAGTCCTAGCACTTGGCTGACTGTTAAGCAATCTTTCCCACATGGCTTCCCTGGTGGCTCAGATGCTAAAGAACCTTCCTTCAGTGTGGGAGACCTGGGTTCAGTCCCTGGTCGGGAAGATTGGTAGGGAAGTTCAGTTGCTCCTGGAGGAGGACATGGCAATCAACTCCAGTATTCTTGCCTGGAGAATTCCATGGACAGAAGAGCCTGGCGGGCTACAGTCCATGGGATCACAGAGTCAGACACGACTGAATGACTAACACACACACACACACACACACACACACACACACAGACTCTTATCCAGGGAGAAATCTGTTGCATGTTACCTTGGGTGTAAATACATCAAAATAATTTTTGTGATAAAAATTTTTTTAAAAACATAAATAAGAAGCCTAGTTTATGTAAACTTATAACTTAAGTGAACTCTTGGAAATTTCATTTAATTCTTGATTGAGTGAGCAGTAACCAAAAAAACTTCCTATCTATCAGAACTAACATCTAGACCAAGAGCATATGATTACTTGATTGTTCAGTTGTTTGTGGGAATCCATAGTATTCTATTTAACAAAGATCAAGAGAGACATAGTTACAGTGTCTGAAATATCTTCTAGGGGAGGCAAGAAGATGGATGGATACATATCAGATTATATGTAAGGTAATAAAATTCATAATATTTACATTGAAAAAATGTTATTCTATTTCTTTATAATAACATTAGTAGCATGTTTTGTTTTTGTTAAATTGGTGCAAAAGGAATTGCAGTTTTGCATTGTTGAAATTTGCCATTTGATATTGGAGTATATTCTTAGATAAATCTGGTTATGTTATACATCATTTTAATGCACATTTCTCACTTTATTTTTTTGCTAATGACTTACTTCTTGCTGTCTATATTTATTTTATACTGTAAAAATGATGTTAGACAAAAGCAAACTCAAGAGATTTTTTTATTTGAGTGTGGTAAAGCAGCAGAGACAACTCACAGCATCAACAACACTTTTGGCCCAGGAACTGCTAACCAACATACAGTGCAGTGGTGCTTCAAGAAATTTTACAAAGGAGATGAGAGCCTTGAAGATGAGTGTACTGGCCAGCCATCAGAAGCTGACAACAACCAGTTGAGAGCCATCACTGAAGCTTATCCTTTTTACAACTACATGAGAAGTTGCTAAAGAGCTCAACATCAACCATTCTATAGTCATTCAACATTTGAAGCAAATCGGAAAGGTGAAAGACCTCCATAAGTGGGTGCCTCATGAGTTGACTGAAAATCAAAAAAATCATTGTTTTAAAGAGTTGTCTTCTCTTACCCTGTACAACCGCAAACCTTTTCTCAATTGGATTGTGACATGCAATGAAAAGTGGATTGCATACAACAACCAGCGCTGAGCAGCTCAGAGGCAGGACCAAGAAGAAGCTCCAAAGCGCTTCCCAAAGCCAAACTTGCACCATAAAAAGGTCATGGTCACTGTCTGGTGGTCTGCTGCCAGTCTGATTTGCTACAGCTTTCTGAATCCCAATGAAACCATCACATCTGAGAAGTATGCTCAGCACATCAGTGAGATATACCAAAACCTGCAACACCTGCA